GGGGCCAGACTCTGCTCAGTGGTGCCCAGGGACAGGCCAAGGGGCAACGGGCACCAACTGGAACCCAGGAGGTGCCACCTGAGCAGGAGGAGAAACTTCTTTGGGGTGAGGGTGCAGAGCCTGGAGCAGCTGCCCAGAGAGGCTGTGGAGTCTCCTGCTCTGGAGAGATCCCAAACCCTCCTGGCTGTGACCCTTGGCACCCTGCTGGGGGTGAGCTGCTGGAGCAGGGGGCTGGATGCAATGAGAGGTCCTTTCCAACCCCACCACGCTGGGATTCTGGGGTTCTCCTACCCTGAAGCCCTTTTCTCTGGAAAAGGTGAGCACAAAACCACCCTGCAGCTTTTCCCATCTCTGAGTATTACTTCGCCAGGCATTAAAACCAACTCCACAGAGCACAGCAGGGCAAGGGGGTGGAGAGGAAGCAGAAAATCATCTGGGCTCTGATTTAAGAGCTCACAGAGCGCCGTGCAAGGTGAGCTGTAACCAGAGCACTGCCTGGCCCCTTCAGCCCTCCCAGCTCACCTCCTGCTGCTTCTCCTCGTTGGGATACGTGTCCACAAACACTCCCAGGCCCAGGAAGTTATCCTTGCTCCCAAAGACAGGCCCTAGAAGGAAGGAGAGGCTCTGAACAAGGGTGGCCAGGCCAGAGGGTTTGTTTCCCAGCCCTCTGTGTCATACCCTGGAGGAGGTAATGAGGTGGGGGCCCTCCAGGCTACCCCTCAAATCACATCACCTTATGTCAGAACCCACAGGCCAGCTGAGCTGGGAAGATGTAGGGGGTGGGCACACAAAGGTGTCCCCACAGCTCAGTATTGGGGTGACGTCTGTATAGCATCTTTATCAACAATCTGGACAAGGGGATCAAGGCACCTTCAGGCAGTTTGCAGGTGACACCAAGTTCAGTGGGAGTCTTGATCTGCTGGAGGCTCTTCAGAAGGATCTGGCCAGGCTGGATCAAGGGCCAAGACCAATGAGAATCAACCAGGCCAAGGGCTGGGAGCTGCCCCTGGGTCACAACCCCCCCCTGCAGGGCTCCCGGCTGGGGCAGAGGG